CTTGGAAAGCTATTGGAAGGGCGAAAAGCAGTAACAAAACTATGGTACCTGGCACATAGTAACTGCTCAGTGTGTAACCCCTATCCCTTTCCAGAAGCACTGCCTAGTGAACAGTAGTGCTCTATTATAAAATGACACAGTGGGTAAGAGTTCATCTATGGGCTCAGATACAATGTTAAACTTGAGACCTTAACTCTAGTGCAGTTTGTGGAAACTGGGCCAAGTCCACTGAAGGCTGCTGAGAAGCTGAGTAAGACCCCCTTTACTGAAGTCTAGAATCCTTCCTATGGAGTTCCTTGAGCTAGGGCCTCAGACCTGCCTCTGTAAGCTTTGTTCTCAGGTCTACTCTGGAGATCCCCTGGGTCTGTCCAATTTCTGACTGACCTCACCCTGCTTCTTACTCCTCTGACCTCTCCTCCATTTCCAGCTTCACCTCCCACTCCCCTCCCCCAGATCCTACCAAGTCTGTCTCTCTTGGCATTCCAAGATGCTCTTTGCTGCCCCCATGTGGTTTACTGCAGACCTTTCTCTCTTGTATCTGTAAAGGCCGTTGCTGGGTGCCATCAAATTGATTCCAGTTGAGGAGCTCTGGTGGCTAGTGCCTGAGGCATTTGACTGCTAACCAGAAGCCTGGTGGTTCAAACCCACCAGCCATTCCTTGGAAGGAAGACTGGGCAATCTACTTTCATAGAGATGCTGCCTTGGAAACTCAAGGAGGGGTCTCTATGAGTTGGAACCGACTGGACAGCAGTGAGTGGCTTTTTTGTTTGTTTAATAGAGACCCCATGTGACAGAGTAGAACTGTCTCATGGGGTTTTCTTGGCTATAATCTTTATGGACCCAGGTCTTTCTCCCACAGAGTTGTTGGGTCAGTTCAAACTGCTAACCAAAAATTTTGAATTGCTAATTGAACTGTAGCCAAGCATTTAACCATACAGGGATCCCTGTAAAAGCCATAGGAAAACTCATTCATTGTTCATCCCTCACTCAGGCCTAATTTATCAAAGGCCTACTGTGTGCTTGGCATCACCTAATCCTTATGTGAATGCTGCAAATTCGGTGTTATTTCCATTTGCAGTTGAGAAAATTGAGACTCTGCCAAGTAAGCGAGTAAGAGCCAGGCTAGAATTTACTTCCAGGTTGATCTAACTCTGGGCATGACTTCACTCTGTGCCAGGTGCTATGAAGGAGTGCTTCAAAGGACCATTAGGGGAGGCTTCAGAGAGGACAGACCCTCTCACATGGTGCTCAGTGGGCAGGAGAGGAGAAGGCTGTTATTCTTCAAAGTTGGAGCGAGGACAGGCTGTGAATCTGGGTGAGCACCACAATAATTTAGGTCCTGCAAGTTCATTACCACCTCTCACCCTTCTAGCAGTTTTGCAGATCCAGAAAGACTTAACATGCCCTCCCAAGGGGCTTATATTTTATATGATAAATGGTTCTGCTGTTGGAAAAAATAAAGAAAAAAATTGAAAATCATTGTTGTGAAAGATTGGGAGCCACAGAAGAATTCTAAATAGAGAAGTAATATGATTACATTTACATTTTAAGAAGGGAGACAAAGACAATTTAGTATAAAAATAAATCTCTTTAATCACATCATCCCAGCAGAGCAACTTTCTTCTCTGCACACTCTTTGAGCTTCTCATCACGTATGGATATTTTTACTCAGTTGTAAACATTGCCACATTCAATTTGCATCCTGCTTTCTCACTTCATGTTATATGTTTTCCCATGGCTGAATGCTATTCCTCAGCAGAGGTGGGCATCTGTGTAGTTGGCGCCATGTATGTGCTAAGTACCATTACTATCATTCAATAGTTATGGTTATTCTGATCTTTCTCTTAGAAATGATGTAGAAATAAATGTATCTGTGCCTTGGCCTGTTTTGCTCCATACTGAAGGGTTCTCTTGGATATAATCCTAGGAATGAGACTCTGGGCCAAAGGCTCTAAATACTTGTAAGGCCTCTAAAGAACCCAGTGATTTGTTTCCCTTTGTGCCTTGCAGCTGAGTGCAGAACAAGAGCCCACAGGAGCCGACCTCAGGTGGAAGGGTTCAGTCCACAGCCTCATGGGGTCGGTGAGGGACACATTGGGAACACAACAATGTAGTGGCATGTTGACTCAAAGCTAGTTTCAAAATGTGGTGATGATTCCATGTGGTGGTTAAGTTTGTGTGTCAACTTGGCTGGACATGGTTGAGTGGCTGGGCAGCTGATGGTAGTTATTCCCCATGATGAGACTAGCAATCAACTCCATGGTGGGACCTACCACAAGCAGCTAAGTAGCTGCTTTAGGGATGTGGTCAGCTTCCCATATATAATAAACAGCTTTGGGCATGGTCTCTAGCTTATGACATGCTTGGACCCTGCATGTAGCTGTGTTGTTTAGCAGCCTGCCATGCTGTGCCAACCTTGGGACTCTCAACGGACTTGAGTTAATGGCCTGCTGTGTGGTTTGGTAACATCAAGACTGCTTTTTTACTTGTTAACCTGGGGCTTGTCAGTCTCAGCAGCCAGCAGCTGTCTGAGTGAAGAAAATCTTCCAGCTCCAGGGTCAGGAACAGGAGGCAGGGCTGAATTCCAAGGCTGAGGGGCTTTTACCCAGCTCCTAGAGATTGGCACTTTGAACTTGGACTTAAAGCCTCTAAACTGTAAGAGAATAAACTCCTGTTTCTTCAAGCCATCCCATTTGTGGTATATTCTTGTCAGAGTGGTGCTAGGTAACAACAACACTCATATCCCAACTTTCCTACTTCTCCATTTTGCCACCCATGTGACACTTCCTCTCTTTGACACTAACCACCCAGAGCAGGTCTGTATAAGTTAGGGCTCTGTCCTTCTAACCCCTGCCAAATAGACAAACACCAGCCTCTCATGGCCCCTAGTGGGTTCGATAATTCCATAGAGGGACTCACAGAACTCACAGAAACTATTACCTGTACTTACCCATGCATTATAACTAGAAAGGATACAATTGAAGAAACACATCAGGCAAGGTCTGAAAGAGGTCTCAACATGAGACTTCCATTGTCCCCAGGGAGATGCCACTTTGTCTCTCCTGTATGGATGTTCTCCTCAATCCCAGAAGCCTTGAACTAGAAGCTCCAAGGTCTAGGGTCCGAGGTCCTCTAGTCATTGGGACCTTAATGAATATGCATGACTAGAACCTTAAAGCATAACTGTGACCAATCCAAAAAGTGAACATGCATGACTATATCATGCCCTTCCCTTCCTGAAGTCTGATGCCAGGATAGGGTGTGTGTAGCCCCCTTGTAATTTACACTTGCTTAAGTTTGGCATAGGATCCCTGAGAGCTCAGTGGATAAAACATGTGGCTATTAATTAAAAGGTTGGTGGTTTGAACCCACTAGATGCTCTGCAGGAGAAAAATGTGACAGTCTGCTTCCATAAAGATTTATAGCCTTAGAAACCCTATGGGAGAGTTCTGTTCTGTCATATAGGGTCACTATGACTCAGAATTAAGTCAATGGGAATTGGTTTGATTTTTTTTTTTTTTTAAGTTTGTCCGGGGTATTCTAGAAAGACAAAGAGCACCTTATTGGTTATGCTTTTTTTTTTTTTTTAAAAAAAACTAGAGACAGAAAGCCAAACTTAGTCTTTATCTTACAAGTAGACATTGTGCTGTTGCCCACATGTCCCTTCATCAGGCCTACTCACCCATCCTGGCCCTGAGAAGGGGAGCTGCCCCAGGCTCAAGCTACCTCTCTCACGGCTTTGGGAAGTGTCTTGCCCAAGGTTAGGCTGAGAAGGGTGACTTGAGACCATGTCTGGCTGGTACAAAGGCAGGAAGACTCAGAAGAACAGTTTCAGTTCAGTGCACCCTGCAGGTTGGCCTAGGCCTCAACTGCAACCACTACGAGGGTTATGTCTTTCCCTGTTCAGTCCTGCCCCTTTCATGCCCCATGGTGGACCATGAAAGTATCCCTCAATGGGCTTCCAATGTACTGCTCTCCAAGAATCTGTGCTCAGGGGACTCCATACCAGGCAGTGAGCAATGTCCATCCTCCAGCTGCTTCTAGTTCCTAAAATTTCTAGCTCTTCTAGCCTCAGTTCCCTAATAGACTTCATGAAGGCCTAGGTAGAGGTGGGGATAGGAGTGTCAGGGGGCTACTGAACACCATAGTGAGGACTGCCTTTGTAAGGGCAACAATGTGCTAGAAGCCCCTGTGAATAGAAATGCTAAATGCATGAAGAAAAACAAGATTTTAAGGCTATGGCTATTGCTGTGTCTCTTGGAAAATGGTATGGCATCATGAAAACTGTGAGAGCTTTGCATAAACAAACCTTGTTTCTGTCACTTACAAGTGGTGGGATTTTGGCCCTGCTGAATGATTCCTGAACCTTTCCTTGACTATCCTGGCATAATAATAATAATGCATTCCTCAAAGGAGCCTTTAAAGAGCTAGCATGTTCTGAGGACTGCCTGGAATGACAAAGTGGCTCAAAATGGGGGATCCTTTCTTTTCTCTCTTCTATCTATGGCATAAAAAGGGCATTGGTGGTTTAATGGTAGAACTCTTGCCTCCCCCGTGGGAGACCTAGGTTTGATTCCTGGCCAGTGCACCACATATGCAGCCACCGATTCTGTTAGTAGAGCCTTGCATGTTGCTATGATTCTGAACAGATTTCAGCAGAGCTTCCAGACTAAGAAAGATTAGGTAGAAGGGCTTGGAGATCTACTCCCAAATATAAGGACATTGAAAACCCTGTGGATCACAGTGGTCCAATCTGCAATGCCACAGGACCAAGCAGCATTTTGTTCCATTGTGCATGGAGGTGCCATCATCAGGGGACCACTTGACAGCAGCTGACAACAATTCTTGTCATATGGTTTGATTTGATTTCCAATATAGTAGAAAGTGATATTTCCTGTGTGCATTAATGGGGGTCACAGCTACAGACATGTTTCTGTTCATCTCAGAGTCTCATGAAGGCATTTGAGTTATATCCCTGTTTTTCTGCACCTTACTTCCAGCAGGTCAAGGAGGGTAAAGCATATTTTCAAGTTGAAGATTACATTCCAGCAAGTTTTATTGGGAGGATGACAGCCCCCTGGGTGCAACTAGAAGTCTCAGAAATGCATTGTCTTGGTCCTGAACTCTGGGGAGAAGATGCGGAGCTGGAGTTCCTGAGGGTAAGACCTCTATCCTTGAAAATGGGTTGGTGCTCAAGGGAGGCACTTCAGCCCTCCTCTCTGAAACCCTTCTCTGGGCTAGTCAGGTAAGCTCAGATCCACAAAAAGTATGAGCAAAGGGACGTCTGTCCCAGTGAGGGATAGGTGAGGCTGCTGGAGGCAGGTAACATTGACAATGGCCCTGAACAGGTAGGATTTGGTGGGCTGGGGTAGATGTTGTAGGGCCTTTCTTCAACCTGAATGCAGCACTCAGTCATATTTCTATGGGTAGGGAGTCTACATTTCTTCTAGACAATGAAAACACAGAACCAGGATGTCCTGGATTAAATTGTGTCCCCTAAAAATATGCGTCAACTTGGCTGGGCTATGATTCTTAATGGTTTGGCAGTTACATATGATGTAATTTTGCAGTCATGTTATGATGTAATCATCCCCATGGTATGATCAATCAATTGGTTATATGGGAATGATTAGGGTGGGATGCAATACCTCTACTCATGTCACAGCCCTCATCTGATTTAAGGGGAGTTTCCTTGGGGTGTGGCCTGCATCACTGTTTATCTTACAAGAGATAAAAGGAGAGAGAAGCAAGCAGAGAAGCAAGAACCTCAGTACCACCAAGAAAGAAGATCTGGGAGTGCACAGTGTCCTTTGGACCCATGGTCCCTGCACTGAGAAACTCCTAGTCCCAGGAGAAGATTGATGCCAAGACATATGGAGATCTCCAAGGAATGCTGGGCCCATAGATATTAGAAGGAGACAAGGACCTTCCCCCTGAGCTGATATCCTTCCTTTAGACCTGGCACCCTGAATTTGGACTTCTAGTCTCCTAAACTGTGAGAGACTACATTTCTGTTTGTTAAAGCCATCCACATGTGATATTTCTGTTATAGCAACACTAGATAACTAAGACATGGGGCATGAACTGAAAGCAAAGCTAATTGAAAACATTAAGTTCCAGTCTTCCAGGCCCACTGCCTTCCCATAGCACAGTCTGTGTGGTCAGTGGGCACAGTGTGGCCTGTGACCATGGTGTAGTCAGTGCCTATGGGGTAGTCAGAGCCCCTGGTGTGGCTAGTATACACTGCATGGCCAATGTGTACAGGGTAGTTAGGTCCCACAGTGTGGTCAGTGGCCATGGCACAGTCAGTGCATGATGTGGCCAGTGTATATAGTGGTCAGTGTGCACAGCATGATCAGTACATTGTGTGGCCAGTGCCCATGGTATGGTCAGCATGCATGGGTGTATCTGTGTTCACAGTTCAAGCAAAAACAATGACATATTTATCCTACGTCTGTGGGCACATAGATCGTTAGATGAATAGCCTTTGCTCACTCCTCAGCTTCCATCTGCTGTGGGCCAGCACTTGTTGTTGTTGTTATGTGCCGTCAAGTTGGACCTGACTCATAGCGACCTCTCCTTGGGTTTCTGAGGCAGTATTACTATGGAAGTAGATTGCCCCATCTTTCTTCCTAGGAGTGGCTGGTGGGCTTGAACTGCCAGCCTTCTGGTTAGCAGTCAAGTGCCTTAGGCCCTACGCTACCAGAGCTCCCTAGGGAAGGAAGAAAAAAAGGGTGTGTTCCCTGTCCCCAGGGAGTCACAGGGCTTTTGGGGAGGACAGACATGTCCCAGAGGCATGCAGCACTGCATGATAAATGCTCTAATGTTAAAAATAATAATACCAGTTACTATTGCATAAAGGATAGTGGGGGCCAGAGAGGGAATGGCACTCTGCCCATGCAGACAGAGATGGGGAGCCAGTGCGGAGGATGCCCTCCTGCTTCCCTGGGATGAGGTACATGGCTGGGCCTCCAGAGATGGGGAGCAACCACAAAGGGAGGCTTAAGGATTTACATATTTCTCTATACACAAATCTAAGATGAGTAGAAAGGTTAGGTGGTTGTTTTCTTGCCTTTAACAGAAACTAGCACCTGAGGACAGCCTTTCTGTTTAGTCAGTCACTGGCAGAAGCATGAACAGCCCTTTGCACAGTGTAAACCTGAAGTCCTTCCATTGAAAAGCTCCAGCAGAAATGTGTTAATTGCATTCCACCATCCAGCCTTTATGTGTGTTCTGTGTCCAGAGGATTAGCATTCCCTTGACAAAACAAACTGGGGATTTCAGCACCACCTGGCACACCTCTGCAAGGCCAAAGGTGGAGCTCCCTGCAGGATAGTCAGTGCGTGGTCTCCCTAGTCCTGGATTGGTGTGCCAGGTTCACTGTCTGTGCTCCTCCCTACCCTGTTTGAATGACTACAAGTGACTTTAAAGGAAGCTACCATCTCATTAAACCAAAATGCAGAAAATGTTGTTTTAATCTTCCGTGGAAAACACTGAATATATTTGATTTAATTTGCATGCAATCTTTATCCATTTCCAGTACTACTCTGATTTCAACAGTCCCTCTGGGTAGGTGGATTGGGGTTTCTGTTGCTCTGTATTGTCAAGCACAGAGAGGAACTAGAGCAGGTTTCATAACCACCCCTAGCACATTGTGACCCCTTCTCGTTAGGGTTTGGGTGAGTGTTTGTTAAACAAAATCCCTACCCACTCACTCATTGGAAAAATAAACATGTCTTCATAATTCTGCCACATGGAAATAGCTTAATTTCATTTTGGTCTATTCATCTTTTTCTGTTTGTTCTGTGTATGCATGTATATATATACATATATATTTAAAACTCCCAAAAACCCATTGCCATGGAGTTGATTCTGACTCATAGCGACCCTAGAGGACAACATAGAATTGACTCATAGGGTTTCCAAGCTTGTAAATCTTACAGAAGCAGACTGCCACATCTTTCTCCCGTGGAGTGGCTGGTGGGTTCAAACTGCCAACATTTTGCTTACCAGCCAAGCATTTAACTACTGTACCCATGGTTTCTTTTTTCTCTCTCTCTCTCTCTCTCTGTGTATGTATATATTGTGATTTGGGTGAAAATTTACAGAGCAAATTAGTTTTCCACTCAACAATTCATACACATTTTCTTTTATGACATCCATTGTAATCCACATAATGTAAAAGCACTCTTCCCACTTCCTTCCAGTATTTACCATTTTCCTTTGCCCTTTCCTATTCCTTCCTGCCTTATATATTTTATCCCTGGAGAAAGACTGCCCTTTTGATCTCCTAAGATTGAATGTTCTAAGAAGTACATACATCCCTGGTTCACCGTATAGGCCTGCCTATTGTTTGGCTGAAAGTTGATCCATGGGGGTGAGTTAAGTGTTCCACCAGCCTCTATCAGACCAGTAAACTTGGTCTTTTTTATGATTTTGAGTTTTGTTCCATATTTCTCTCCCCCTCTATCCAGGACCCCCTATTATAATCACTTTAAGACTAGTCAGCAGTGTTAGCAAGGCACTATCTTGTTCTTCTGGTCTCAGGGTCATGGAAGCCGGGCTTCTCAAGGTCCATTAGTCCTTTCGAGTAATTGTTTCCTTTGATTTTCTTCACTTTTCTTTGCTCTAAATGGGGAGAAAACAATAGTTGTACCTTAGATGGTCACTCAGAAGCTTTCAAGACCCCACTTGCTACTCACCAAAGTAGGATATAGAGCACTGTCTTTGTGGACTGTTATGCCAACTGACTTTAGTGTCCCCCAAGTCTCTGGTCCTAAGCCCCCAGGCCCAGAGTCTCATCCCTTCAAGGTGCTTGGTTATGGCTAAGAAATTTTCATAACTTTGTCCCCTATATTCTCTACTATATTCATTGCTACATGTGCAGCACATATAAATACATGTGTAGAAATATCCTCTGTCAAATCTATGTAAATTCATAGTTCCATTTGCCTTTCTACCCCTGTTCAGCTGTTATTCCTGTTATTGCAGGATTTTGAATGTAAAAGTATTTACCTTTGTTGTCTTTAGTTTTTGTGCTCCTCCCTGTGTCTTCCACTGCCTTGGTTATTTTGTGCTGACCTCCCCCTTATTTAAAATTTAGTTTTTTTCCCCTTATTGGATGTTGCCTTTCTCTTCACCCAAGTTAACAGTGTCTACTCTCCAGTTGGTGAATTTCCCTCCTTTCCCCTACTACCCCTGGTAACATTCAAAGAACGATTCTTTCTTTGTGTAAAGCTTTACTTTTTACAGTAGTGATTTCATATGATAATTGTCCTTTTGTGATGAACTAATCTCACTTGCTATAATGTCCTCTAGGTTATCAATGTTATGAGATGCTTTGCAGATCCATTGTTACTCTTTAATGTTGCGGAGTATTCGATTGAGTGTATGTACCACAGTTTCTTTATTCATCTGTTGATGGGCACTTAGATTGTTTCCATTTTTTGTTATTGTGAATAATACTGTGATGAACATGTGTTCATGTCATGGTTCTTTTTTCTCTAGGATACATACCTAGTAGTAGGATTGCTGAATCATATGGTATTTCTATTTATAACATTTTAAGGAAGTGCTATACCATTTTCCACAATAGTTGAACTAACAGTGTATGAGGGTTCTAGTCTCTCCACACCCTCACCAACATTTGTTGTTTTATGTTTTTTTAACTTTGCTATTAATCCTGGGGTAAGATGATATCTCATTGTTGTTCTGATTTGAATCTCTCTAATGGCTAGTGATAACAAGCCGTTCTTTGTGAGTTTGTTGTTGTTGTTGTTGTTAGGTGCTGTTGAGTCATTTCTGACTCATAGCGACCCTACGCACAGCAGAACGAAACACCGCCCAATACCACACCAGCTCCATGATCCTTGCTATACTTGAGCCCATCATCACAGCCATCATGTCAATCCATCTTGTTGAAGGCCTTCCCCTCTTTCGTTGACCCTCCACCTTACCAATCATGACATCCTTCTTCAGGGAATGGTCCCTTCTGACAACATGACCAAAGTAGGTGAGACGAAGTCTGGCCATTCTCGCTTCCAAGGAGCATTTCGGCTGTGCTTCCTCCAGGACAGATCTGTTAGTTCTTTTAGCAGTCCATGGTACTTTCAGTATTCTTTGCCAGCACCACAACTCAAAAGCATCAACTCTTCTTTGG